TTCCTCCATGAAAAGAGGTACATTTGCACAGGAAAAAACCCCATGTGGTTCTATGGATGTTTCAGGGACCCAATGTGCATCCCTCCCATTGGGTCTACTTCTCTAGAGAACTGTGATAAATACAGAGTCTATGAACCCCACTAGATAATCTTATGCTTAAGAATCAGAAGTCCGAGGTCATCCTCAGCTACATAGCGAGTTTGAAGCAACTGGGCTACACGAAACCCTGTCTCAAAAAACAACAACAACAACAACAACAACTGAACAATGACCTGGCAGTGTGGGCACATCCCCAACACATAAGTGGGCAGTATCCACCTCACCATAGCTCTCCATACCCAGCCCAGGCCCATGAACCAGGCTGTGTGGCTCCCACAGGGACAACCTCCCATATGCAGTCCCCCTGAGAATGGGGCTCTCAGCTGCCTTTCCTTCCCTCGGCCCTACCTATCATGGTCATGCTGTAGTCATAAAGATGCTCATAAAGGTCTGTAGATTTTAGTGTCACTGTGTCCATGGGCTGGAGTCAGTCAAGTCACAAACAGATACTTAAATAAAGGAAGGCAGCAACCGAAACAGCCAGAGACCCAGGGAAGGGCTAATGTATGCTCCAGCGTCTCTGTGCGGTAGACACACTGGGCAAAGGCTGACTCCCATTCTCCTTCCAAAGGCTCAAGGGCCCAGGCCTTGCAGCTCCCTGCATCCAGAGCTGAGGGATCCAGAAATGAGGTCTGCTGGGCCCCCAACAGGGACCTGGAACCCACATGCTGAGTGTTCCCAGGAGGCCATAGCCTCCTTCTCACAGAAGTGGCGTAGGGCCACATGGCCCCAGAGGGAGGGGGGCCTCTGGATGGTTCAAGGTAGGGCCATCCGTAACTTCCTCTACTACCCCCAAACTTCCAGGCCTCTCAGGGGGCAGCTCCCCCCAGCTCCCATGAACTAGAAGAGGCGAAGACTGCTGACTCAGCCAGATGGAGAGTAGAGACCCTGAAATCCATGCAGTACGGTCATCCGGGTCATCCGACAATGGGCCCGGCCGGGGGGCGGCAGAAGTCCTCCCAGACCAAGACTGGGTCACAGTCGCAATGGCTTGTCCTCCATGTGGACAGATGCTCCACAGCACTGTGAAATGAATCTGTGAACCCGTGAAAGAAGGTGGCTGTGGCCCAGGGCAGCCTGAAGACTTTATAGGAGATGCAATGGGGATCCAGACTATAGTTAACCCTGAGCAGGCTGGGAGGTGGCCATGACATGTGGCAGGATGCAAAGGAACAGCTGAGCACCAGCCTGGGAACAGCCTGGCTGTTCCCAGGAGAGCAGGAAGTGGGCAAGGTCTGAGGGAGGGTGGTGTGGGAGGGGCACCTGGGATGGCAGCTTTGGAAGTAGCTGCTGGTTGTGAGGATACCCCCGATGTTTCCTTACTTGCTACATCTCCAGGATCCAGGGACCCACACTCTCCAAGTTCTCCCCGTGCCCTGAACACGCCTACACTGCCAAACCTGAGCGGCCCCGCCCCCTGCTGCCTCGCACCAGAGCTATTTGGCTCCAATACAGTCGAAATCTTAGGGCCCCAGGCGCCACCTCCACTTCAAGCCCTGGGACTAATATTATTACCCAGTAGGTTCAGAAACTTCTGGAAGACCTATCTTGTATGACTCTTATCAGCAGCTGCAGCCCAGGACACTTTAGATCTCTATTCTCCATATTCTATGTGGATGGGCTGGATTACCTCCATTCACCCCGGGAAAGCTTCACAGAGCTGTAGCCCAAGTAGAGCACACGAAACAGAACCTGGCTGTGCAATTCCCTAATGTCTATGTTCTGACATCATGTATATCCTTAGGGGAGAGCACTGAGACCAGGTCTCACCATGTAGCCCAGGCTGGCCTCCAGCTCCTGTTCTTTCTGCCTATACCTCCAGAGTGCTAGGGTTATGGGCGCAGACCACTTCAGTGTTAAAGCTTTCAGCGCATTAGTCTCAAGCTGGAATCATGCCAGAATCTCCCAAGACACTGGCGGGGTCCTTCGCGGACCTGCTGCATGTCCCATAGCAGAGGGAGCCCAGGACCTCAGCCCTGGTCTCCTGACCCACAATGAGTCACCCCACTACCCTGTAGAGGGTCTGAAGCCTTTGCCCCTCCCCGACTCTTCCTCTCCTCTTCGTCTTCTAAACAAATCTTCATCAGAGCCAAACCATGTCTTGACTTTAGGTCTTCCATCTTGAGATAACCCTGCTTTTTACCAAGGTTCTAGGCTTTCTTTACACAGGATGCTCCACTCTCCGGGAGCTGAGCTATCCTATTTTCTCAGCATCTTTGGGGTGCTAACGTATAAGAGACAAGGTGGAATGTCACAACTCTGCCACTGTCCAGGGGGACCTGGCACACAAGTGGCTGAACTGATAGCCGAGGGTCCAACTCACAGGGACAGCAGCCTCCTCCCTCCTGACACATGTTCTGCACTGGCCACGCTCCAGAAGTCACCAGCAAGAGGAAGTAACAACTCTCCTAGATGCCAGGGAGGTTCACCGGGTCCCAGGGAACCCAGCCAACCTTCCCACATGGAGGTAGAGACACAGAATCCGCCCTCGGGTTGCTGGGGATTTTGACTCTGTCCAGGGAGGCTCAGTGGGGGAACGTCATCCACAGCCTAACCAATTCTGCACAATAAACTTGGCTTTTCCTTTGATAAGAAGGAGGTTCTGGGGCTGGGGAGCCAGGTCACTGGGTCGGGGGCTGGCCGCACAAGCGTGAGGATCGGAGTTGGATCCCTCAGAACCCACGCCGAAAAATGGGTGCGTGGTGAGCACTAGAAATCCCAGTAATCATAGAACTGGGAAGGAGGCAGGTGGATTATTGCTCCTGGACAGCCACCCTGGCTGAACGGGTAAGCTCCAGGTAAAAGCGATGAGACCCTATGCCAAAATACAAAAATACAGAGAGATAGCCCCCAAGGTTGACCTCTGGTGTGCACATGCGTGTGCGTGCACACATGCACCAAGCAAAAAGCCAGGCATCCACAGAGACCTCTGTCACCAAGCCACCAAGCTCACAGTTATAGGAGAGAGGCAGGGAGGAAGGATCCCACAAGGCCCCTGAGCTAACCTTGGTGGAACCACAGAACATTTGGATCGAAGCAGAAAATCTGAGGTCACACAAAGCTGGCCGCTCATTCACTCAAACATTAACCAAACGAGCACCTAGATCATCCAGAATGGGGACACAGAGATCGATAAATCTTAGTGGCCATTGAGAAGGGCAGGCAGGACATTAAGATCACCACTGAACAGGAGGGCCAGGTACAGCCACAGTCAGAGCCAGACCTGGCCAGTAGACTTGTGTAGCACTGTGGCTGGACCAGGCGTGCCTGGCAGGGCCTGTCTTATCTCCTCCTCCAGCGGTGACAGGCACCTGGAACAAGGCCTGGGAGATAAGAGATCCTGATAGGGACAGAGCTCTGTGCGCATTCCACTGTGGAAAGACAACTGTCCCCGCGACCTCTGGTGACCAAGGTATGCTCAGCGCCCAGCACCCAACACCCAGAAGCGGGGCAGAACCCTGTGCAGGGGCACACCCCTGTAGCCCCAGCACTTGGGAGGCTAAGGCAGGAGGCAGGTAAACTCCTCAAGGCTGGCCTGGGTTACAGAATCAGACCTTGCCTCGAATAACCAAACAAGAGACGGAGGACAGCTCAGCTAGCGGGGTGCTTACTTAGCACGGGTGCTCACTTAGTACTGACGAGGCCTTGGGTTCAATCCCCAGGAGGATTATTAGTACAGATCATCCACATAGAGCGTTTTTAGGCAAGTCCCTGTCTCAAAACTCAAACAGGGCGAGACTTCAGGACGGGGACCTCCAATGGACTGAAAACAAGGGTGAGTGACTTCATATCAGTCCTCAAGTGGCCGGCCAGCAGCTTCATTCCAAATGAAGCCTGAGGTGCTCAAGGGCAGGCACCTCAGGACGCCGCCCCCAGTTCTTGGCTTCAGGAGATGCTAAGTAATCAGGAGGGGGCGGAGTCCAGGGCAAGAACCACCCACTGTACAGATTAAAACATCTATAGACGGTATTTAAGCCAGCTGCCCTTGCCCCACAGCCGGCCAATAGCCTTGTATCTTCAAATAAAATTTTTTTTTGTGTGTGTGTGTGTGTGTGTGCGCCACGTCACAGTGCATGTTTAAAGGTCAGGAGACAGTTCTCTCCTACCATGTGGAGTCCAGGGATAGGACTCACATTGTAAAGGCTGACAGCAAGCATTTTGTTTTGTCTTTTGAGACAGGGTTTCTCTGTGTCGTCCTGGTTGTCCTGGAACTCACTCTGTAGACCAGGCTGGCCTCGAACTCAGAGACCTGCCTGCCTCTGCCCCCTGAGGGCCGGGGTAAAAGGAGGTGCACAGATATTGCCCAGCATGACAGCAAACAACTTTTTACCCAGTGGGCCATCTCACCAGCCAAGGCTTGGTGTCTTTCAAGACCCTTTGTGATGAGCTGCACCCTGCCCTAAAGGAAGCCAAGGCCTCACACCCGTGCCAGTGGGCGTCTGCAGAAGACGTGAGCTGGGTATAACAGCGAGCTCAGCCTGCAGAGCCGGGCAATGCAACCGCAGGAGTGTGGACAGAGGCTGGGAGGGGCTGCAGGAAGACGAGATCAGGCTCCCCCGGCCCTGAGTACAAAGCTCTTTACTGGGCTCGGGCTCACAGCCTGAGATGCGTGCTCCTCAGGGTGCGTGGCAGAGAACAGAAGGAAAGAGGCCGGGGAGCCATGGGAGCCTCAGGCACCGAGGCGGGCTCAGCCTGCAGCCACGTGTGGGTGGGGTGGGATTCAAGGCAGCTGCAGGAGGTCTCGGGTGTGGAGTGCACCAATGCCCACCTCCTCACAGGCAGGTAGGAGCCCCCAGTCCACTCCACACAGCAGCCGCCCTGACAAGTCGTCCTTGGGAAGGAGTCCAAGGCTCCGGAGCTCCTGAGGGCAGGTAGAGACCTGCCCAAGGAACACAGCGGTGCTCGATAAACAATCAAAGTTTAATGGCGGAAGGCAGAGTCTGAAGAGGTGTCCTGGCTAAGGGGAGAGTTGGCTTGAAACTTCTCTAGAGACCAAACTGTAGGAAGTTGGACCCTCTCAGTGGGGCACCCCCCCCCCAGGCCATTTCCTAAAGCTCAATATTGGCCTAGTCTACAGCGCGGGGGATGGTAAGGACGGTGGGGGGGATGGGGGATGGTAAGGATGGGGGGGGATGGGGGATGGTAAGGAGGCAGGAGGCCCACCTAGCCTCTGCCGGCGCCCATTGGGTCTTTTGCCTATTTGCATTAAAATAAAGCTGTTCTTCCCACACACTGGGTCAGCTAGTGGGAGAGGAAGCCTAGAAACTTCCGGGGTGGTGTGGGAAAGCCAGTAGAGTGTGCTGAGTGGAGGGCTGGGAGAGCGGAAATGGAGCCTCAGTGCTGGCTTCCTAGTGACCTTTGACACAGGCAGGGAATCTGCGCTGCCCCAGGCCGTGGGGCCCTCTCTGCACAAGGGGGCCTCGGCCCGGCAGAGCCACCCTATCTGACACAACAGGAAGCTGGGGACGATACTGTGGCAGGGAAGGGCGGGGGCGGGGAGCACAGGCAACGGCGTTGTGGTTGCCCCACGGGTGGAGGGCTCCTGCGTCAATGGCGTCCATGTCGCAGGGCTGTTCTCTCAGAGCTGTTCTCACAGCTCAGGCCAGTGGATCTGCTGCTCCGAGGGCTCCCAAGTCCAAGAAGCTCCCTCCTGGACCTGGCAAAGCGGGGCTTGTCTCACTCACACTTGCCACATGTGGCCCCGGGAGTCCGGCCTCCTCCTCACCGCAGCTGACTTCCACCTAGGGCTGTCACCGCCCCACACACAGTAGGTTCCTCTTCACACCAGCTGAGCTGTCACCATGATGGCCCACGGGGCCACCCGGTAGACACAGGAATGCACTCCAGTAGACGTAACAGAACCTGGGGTGACCCAATACAGAAATGACCAGGGGACTGAAGGGGTGGGCCAGGTCAGTCACAACTGGGATCCCCAGTGAGCAATGCTTACCACGAAAGGTCCTGGCCAGGCATGGCGATGCACACCTCTAGTCCCTGCATTCAGGAAGCTGGGGTAGCAGGACTGCTGTGAGTTCGAAGCTACCCCATACCACGAAAGAGACCCAAGAAGAGAAGGATGAACCACCTTCCCAAACAGGCCTTGGGTGGAGGCTGGCTGCTCATCCAGAAGGCTTAATAAGCACATTTTTTTCCTATTTGCTGAAAAGGAGCCCCCTGGCTGCCAAGGGAAGCTGGGCAAAGTGAGTGACAGACGTGTATAAATGCCCCCAGAGCCCCATGAAGCCAGGAGCAAAGTGTGAACGAAGGAGGCCCTACACACTGCAGGAAACTGCTGTCCTCCGGGTTTTCCACATGAGATCCGAACCAAATTCCAACTCTGCCCAACACAGAGCGGCCAGAACCCGCTACTGGGCTTCTTCCGGGTGATACATTTTTCTCAAAGAAAAGGAATCTCACACTTCTCTTGGGGAGCAGACATGCTGCTCCCCAGACCTCTGTCCAAGAGCCAGCGGCTCTTCCTTAGAACAGGGGCGCGATGCGGGTGCACCCAGTCGGTTGGAAGCTTAGGCAGTCTTCAGGGATTTGCCTGTCCCTCTGTGCTTGGGTGCAAGCGACCATTCTCTGTGCTAGCTGGGGTACCTCACATGTCTCAGCTGCAAAGCCTGCTGGAGGACACTTCCTGCCCTGGCTCTGACATAGAGGACAGGTTCCAACACATGGCTCCAGAAGGCAGACACCCCCATCGCACATTCTCTAGCAAAACAAATGCATACCAACCCCCCCACCCCACCCAGCAACACCCTCCTGGGCTCCGCACATCTCAAGAACCCAAAGCCGACAGACAGTACATACATCTGACGGTGGTGTCCCCATCAGAGTTCACCCCTGTGGTCTCTGATTTACCACCTTTTAAGAGCCGGCAGTTACTAATGTCCAGTCAGCGTTGGAAGCCGCCCACTATTAGAAGCTGATAACTCTGTGTGGAGAGATTTTTTGCTAGAAGCATCCAATTCACCTCTGTTCCTGCCCCGGCTGGAAATCAGAAGCCCTTTGCGGAGGCAACGTGCTCCACGACACTCCCCATCACTCAGAGGAGTTGGCCAAACATTTACAAAGAGATAGCTGTGACCACACAAAGCCCCTTTTTCTTCTATTCTGCGATCGAAAATCTGGTTCCCGCGTGGAGACCCGGCATCCCGCCACCCATTCTCCCAGGAACCCAGGGCTGGACTGCCAGCCGGAACCCCAGGCCCCGGGGCTACCTGGATCCGAGCCCCTGTGCACCCATCGGGGCCGGCCAGGCGGGCCCCACCACCTGGAGGCCCCCGGAGCAAGCTGTGAGAGGCTGGAAGAACAAAGAGCGAGGACTCACCCCAGCAGCTGAAAGTCGGGCTGCCTGGACGTTGGAGAGCTGCGGCCCGCCCACCGGGTCACATGGCTCGGAGCCGAGCAGAGGATCAAAGAGGCTTTGTGGCCTCGGAACAAGGAGCCTCCCAGAGTGTGGGGCAGAGAGGTAGGAGGGCTCAGGACGGCCCGCGGAGGGAGGCTAGATGGGGAACTGCTCGGAGGGGCAGGGCGAGGGGACGAGGAGGCGGGGAGAGGCGCACCGGCTGCGGGCGACAGCGGCTGGGTGAGCCCAAGGGCCTCTCCGCTCAACACACCAAGGAGCAGTCTGGGCCACTAAGAGGAAAATGACAGGGTGCACAGTATGGACCTTGGAGCCACGCAGCTCCAGCCTCTAACCTGTGTTTGCCCAAGTCTGTGTCAATCAAGAACCACACGACCTCTTCCCAGCCAGCATGGCTTTCCGTTGACCCGGCGCATGGTACCCGGCCTGGCTCCACCCCCACCCGGTCAGCTAACAGGCACGCACCTTGGTTTTCAGGCAGCCTTCTGTGTTTTGGCAGGGCTCGCCTTCTCCCAAAGCCCTGACCCCCAGAGGTTCTGGGCAGCTGAGACAGCACAGCCACCCTGCTTAAGCGGGCCCCCGGGGCTGGGGCTGAGGCTGAGCTGGGGCGGGCTCACCCTGCCTGGAGCCTCAGGGACTCCGAATGTGTTCTGACGCCTCCTTCTTCTTCCCACCGCTCCCGATCCTCCTTGGGGGCTGGGCAATGAGTCAGTAGTCTCCTCCCACTCCCTGCAGACCCCTGTGATGTTCTGGGACCCTGAGAGTGATGAGCCAGGGGATCCAAAGGATAGGAGCTGACACTTCTGGGGCTGGGCCTGGATGATGGGATCTGCCAGACCCCATAACCTCTGACCTGGAATGAGTCACTCCCAGGCTCAGGCATGGCCATGGTGGCCCTAGGCCAGCTCCCACACTGGGAGTGCTGGGGGTGGGACTGGAGGTTGCTTGGAGCAGGGAGCAATTAGCTCAAGTGGAGAGGAAGGAGTCTCTGGTAACTCTGGAGGGGCCTCAGGGCCAGCGACAGATCTCCCCATGTGACTTCAATCCCCTTGTCTGCAGGAATAACTGCCCCAAAGCCTCGCCTGGCATATGCACACTCCCATATTCCATCCCCAGCCCAGCTCCGCCCTACCAGCTGAACGCAGGAACCCCAGGCCTCTGGTCCATCCCGCAGGTCTTTGGAATCTGCCTTCCCAGTCTGGAGCTGCTACACCAACTCTAGTCACAGCTAAGACAGCAGGTCCCTTCAAACCAGGAGGAGCGCCCCCTCTAACTCTCTCCTGCCCTCTTATCACCAAGCCCGAGTCAAAGTTGACCACCAACTGCCCTACTGGCTCCCCCTCCTGGGGGCACAGGGTTTCCTCCTGAACCTCACAGTCCCCAGATCTCTCCGGCCCCCGAGGGCAGCTCCGGCAAGCCCCTGCTCTCCAGATTCCAGGCCTGGGAAGTCGCAGGGGGGGGGGGGGAGACAGACCTGCACAGGGTGACTTGTGCTGCTGACTCTCATCTAGCACAATCAGATGGGGGTCTCCAGATCATGAGGGGGGTGCCCAGGACATGAGGGGTTCTCTGGGGTTGTTTTCCCAAACAGGACATCCATCTTCAAGTGGGGAGGTTCTCGGCTCTCCCAGTCAGAGAAGTAGCCTGACTGTAACCCACGTACCATCCAGCCCTCTGGCACAAGGCCCAAGATGCAAGTTACAGATGGAGCCTTAAACTTCTAGCTACCACAGGGAGAAAATGTGAGGAATCATGTGGCCTGTTTTAATTGATCTCACAGAGCCAAAACATTATCAGTTCAAGATGTCATCAACATGAAAATGGCAGAGATATTTCACATACTTCGTCCTTTCGTGCCGAGACGCTGGGATCCAGAATGCATCTGACTGACTCCTCTGGCACACTCTCATGCGATCAGCCTTGTGTCAGGGGCATGACAGCCCTATGTGCTGGACAGGAGGGCACGACTGTACTCTGCACCCTGTCACTCTTACTGAAGAGCCTTCCTGGAGACCCTGGTCACTCCTAGAACCAGATCCTCATGCCACATTTAGGGGTAGAGAGGACACAGCTCACTGAAACATACATCTTCTGTAAAATCATGTTGAGGGACTGGAGGGATGGCTCAGTGGTTAAGAGCACATGTTGTGAACCAGAAGCAGGTGGATCTCTGTGAGTTTGAGGCCAGCCTGGTTTACAGAGTGAGTTCCAGGACAGCCAGAGAAACCTTGTCTTGAGAAACTGGGGGG